ACAGCTGCAAACATCCATTAATAATTGGAAGGTGGAATGTACGAAGTATGAATTCAGGAATTTGGAAATAATCAAAAATGAAATGGAACACATAAACATCAATATCCTAGGCATTAGTGAACTGAAAAGGACTGGAATTGGCCATTTTGAATTGGACACATATGATCTACTATGCCAGGAATGACAAGCTGAAGAGGAATGGCCTTGCATTCATAGTCAAAAAGAACATTTCAAGATCTATCCTAAAGTACAACACTATCAGAAATAGGATAATATCCATATGCCTACAAGGAAGGCCAGTTAATACAACTATTATTCAAATTTATGCACCAACTATTAAGGCCAAAGATGAAGAAATTGAAGATTTTTACCAGTTTCTACAGTCTGAAATTGATTGAACATGCAATCAGAATGCACTGACTGGTGACTGGAATGCAAAAGTTGGAAACGAAGAAGAATCGGTGGTTGGAAAATACGGTCTTGGTGATAGAACCGAAGTCGGAGATTGCATGATAGAATTTTGCAAGACCAAAGACTTTCTCATTGCAAATACCTTTTTTCAACAACGTAAAAGGCTACTATGCACATGGACCTCGCCAGATGGAATACACAGGAATCAAATTGACTACGTCTTTGGAAAGAAACGATGGAAAAGCTCGATATCATCAGTCAGAACAAGGCCAGGAGCCGCCTGCAGAACAGATCATCAATTGCTCATATGCAAATTCAAGTTAAAACTGAAGAAAATTAGAACAAGTCCAAGAGAGCCAAAGTACAACCTTGAGTATATCCCACCTGGATTTAGAGACCATCTCAAGAATAGATTTGACGCATTGAACACTAATGACCAAAGACCAGATTAGTTGTGGAGTGACATCAAGGACATCAAACATGAAGAAAGCAAGAGGTCATTAAAAAGACAGGAAAGAAAGAAGAGACCAAAATGGATGTCAGAAGAGACTCTGAAACTTGCTCTTGAACGTTGAGTAGCTAAAGCGAATGGAAGAAATGCTGAAGTAAAACAGCTGAACAGAAGATTTCAAAGGGCAGCTTGAAAAAACAAAGTATTATAATGACATGTGCAAAGAGCTGGAGGTAGAAAAACAAAAGGGAAGAACACGCTCAGTATTTCTAAAGCTGAAAGAACTGAAGAAAAATTTCAAGCCTCGAGTTGCAATAGTGAAGGATTCTACAGGGAAAATATTAAACGATGCAGGAAGCATCAAAAGAAGATGGAAGGAATACACAGAGTCACTATACAAAAAAGAATTGGTCAACGTTTGACCACTTCAAGAGGCAGTGTATGATCAGGAATTGATGCTACTGAAGGGAGAAGTCCAAGTTGTACTGGAGGCATTGGTGAAAAACAAGGCTCCAGGAATTGACAGAATATAGATTGAGATGTTTCAACAAATGGATGCAGCACTGGAAATGCTCACTTGTCTATGCCAAGAAATTTGGAAGACAGCTACCTGGCCAACTGACTGGAAGAGATCCATATGTATGCCTATTCCCAAGAAAGGTGATCCAAATGAATGCAGAAATTATCGTTACTATCACACACAAGTAATATTTTGCTGAAGATCATTCAAAAGCAGCTGCAGCAGTATATCAACAGGAAACTGACAGAAATTCAGGCCAGATTCAGAAGAGGACATGGAACCAGGGATATCATTGCTGATGTCAGATGGATCCTGGCTGAAAACAGAGAATACCAGAAAGATGTTTACCTGTGTTTTATTGACTATGCTAAGGCATTCAACTGTGTGGATCATAATAAATTATGGATAACATTTCGAAGAATGGGAATTCCAGAACACTTCATTGTGCTCATGAGGAACCTGCATATGGATCAAGAGGCAGTTGTTCGGACAGAACAAGGGGATACTTCGTGGTTTAAAGTCAGGAAAGGTGTGTGTCAGGGTTGTATCCTTTCATCATACCTATTCAGTCTGTATGCTGAGCAAATAATCTGAGAAGCTGGACTATATGAAGAAGAAAGGGGCATCAGGATCAGAGGAAGACTCACTAACACCCTTCGATGTGCAGATGACACAACCTTGCTTGGTGAAAGTGAAGAGGACTTGAAGCACTTACTGATAAAGATCAAAGACCGCAACCTTCAGTATGGATTACACCTCAACATAAAGAAAACAAAAATCCTCACAACTGAACCGATAAGCAACATCATGATAAATGGAGAAAAGATTGAAGTTGTCAAGGATTTCATTTAACTTGTATCCACAATCAACACCCATGGAAGCAACAGTCAAAACACTCATCGCATTGGGCAAATTTGCTGCAAAAGACCTCTTTAAAGTGTTGAAAATTTCAGCAAAGGTGTCACCTTGAGGACTAAGGTGCACCTGACTCAAGCCATGGTGTTTTCAATAGCCTTGTATGCCTGTGAAAGCTGGACAGTTAATGAGGAAGACCAAAGAAGAATTGACTCCTCTGAATTGCAGTGTTGGCGAAGAATATTGAATATACAATGGACTGCCGAAAGAATGAATAAATCTGTCTTGGAAGAAGTACAACCAGAATGCTCTTTAGGAGCAAGGAAGGCGAAACCATGTATCACATACATTGAACATGTTATCAGGAGGGATCAGTCCCTGGAGAAGGACATCATGCTTGGTAAAGTAGAGGGTCAGGAAAAAAGAAGAAGACCCTCAACGAGATGGATTGACACAGTGGCTGCAAAAACAGGCTCAAGCATAGCAACAATTATGAGGATGGTGCAGGACCGAGCAGTGATTTGTTCTGTTGTTCATAAGGTCTTTAGTTCTGTTTTTCATAGGGTCCCTATGAGCTGGAACTGACTCGACAGCACCTAACAACAACAATAACATAATTAGGCAACTGTAATTATGAATTTCATTAAAAGCTAAGCTTTATTTTTTATTTTTTCCTTGTCCTGTGAACACATACCAGATTTGGCCACCCACCAGTGCAAGAAAGACTCAGCTGCTTGGCCAAGAAGAACTCTATCTACGTTGTGGCAAATATTGGGGACAAGAAGCTATGCGATGCCAGTGACCCTCAGTGACCCACTGATGGCTGTTACCAATACAACACTGATGTGGTGTTTGATTCTGAAGGGAGATTGGTGGCACGCTATCATAAGGTAGAGTTAATTGGCAAATAGTTTACTTTACATAATAAAGTGAGCTAGAAGAAAAAAATATCATTATTGTGATAAAAAGCTTACTTTAGGAGCAGAGACAAAGCATAGACAGTAATGATTAGGTCAGGTAAGATCCTATAAAGATCCTCCAGAAGTATACTGTGCATTTAAGAGCAATTAAGAGTGTGTGAGAGCCATGGAGGGACTGGCATTGAAAGGTAAAGTCACGTTTTGGGCTTCGTCCTTTTAAAAATATGCCCTGGCAATGAGCCAAAGCGAGAATAAAAAGAATCTTTACTAGGTAGAATTGATCTCGAGATGAAAGGAGTAAAGAAAACCTCCTGGCCACCAGAAACAGTTAACATATTCTTGGAAAATCGAAGTTATCTGTTTTGCTCTTATTCTTGTAAGATTCAAAAGGGTCTTTATAAATAAGAATTTCCACGTATTTATTATCTATTAATTGTGGAGGTTGAACCTAAGACTCCTTTTGAACTGAGTAGCCTTTGATTTTCTAACGTACTGCTCTTTGCCTCTGAAGATGATGGCCAGAGTTGAAACTGGCCACCAATTCATGAGCCAACTAATAGATGTGAATTTACACTAGTTTATACATTGCGATGTTCAGGGTCAGCTTCCTAAAAGCCTTTTTTTTTCCTTTTCTGCATTCCTCTTCTGTTTATTACAGCAAAACCTTTCTGTTGGCAAAGATCTATTCAATTCACCCGAAAAGCCTGAGTTTGTGACTTTCAACACCACCTTCGGGAGGTTTGGCATTTTCACCTGCTTTGATATACTTTTCCATGATCCTGCTGTGACCCTGGTAAAAGATTTCCATGTGGACACCATACTCTTCTCGACGGCTTGGGTGAATATTTTGCCACATGTATCAGCTGTTGAATTCCACTCTGCTTGGGCTGTGTGCATGGGGGTCAATTTCCTTGCAGCTAAAATACATAACCCCCAGATGAAAATGACAGGTAATGTTTGAGTTTTAATGTTAACAATTGTCTTAGTTATCTAGTGCTGCTATAACAGAAATACCACAAGTGGATGGCTTTAACAACAGAATATTTTTTCTCCCAGTCTAGTTGGCTAGAAGTCTGAGTTAAGGGCACCACCTTCAGGGGAAGGCTTTCTCTCTGTGTCAGCTCTGGAGGAAGGTCCTTGTCATCAGTCTTCCCCTGGTCTAGGAGCTTCACAGCACAGGACCCTGGGTCCAATGGACATGCTTTACTCCTAGCACTACTTTCTGGGTGGTATGAGGTCTCCTTGTTTCTCTGCTCACTTCTCTCTTTTATATCTCAAAAGAGATTGACTCAAGATACAATCTAATCTTGTAGATTGAGTCCAGCCTCATTAACATAACTGCCTCTAATCCTGCCTCATTTACATTATAAAGGTAGGATTTCCAACACACAGGGAAATCACATCAGGTGACAAAATGGTGGACAATCACACAATACTGGGAATCATGGCCAAGCCAAGTTGACACGCATTTTTAGGTGACACAATTCAGTCCATAACAATAGATTTGGTGTAATAAAGCAAAAAACAAAAAAACACCACCAACAACAAAAATAAACAAAAAAAATTTTCCCCTAGTTAACATATATTCTTTAATACTTAAACACTTAAATATAATAAGTGTTTTCCAACTTTTAATTTCTTAATTTTTGCATATTTATCTGGTGGGATACTATAGAATCAACATCAAGCTAATTTTGTAGGTTTATTTATTTTTAAATTCAACTTGAATGTATGCCATTTTTTCTTTTTTTTCCCAAATTTGACCACTTATTACTTGAAACTTCCTCTTCTTTAGCTTCTACACGCCTCGCTCTACCAGATTTCCTTTCACCTGTCTGCCCTTATAAGCATGTTTTACTGAAATATATATCTTGTTGTTGTTGTTAGGTACAGTTGAGTAATTGTTGACTCATAGCAACCCCATGTTAGAGACAGTAAGATGTTAATGTGAGTATAAAATAAAAGTAGCCACTATAAAGTCACTTTTCACTTTCCTATTTCAAAAAAACATTTCCAATTTATCCCTTGCAGAAAGTAGCATCTATGCACCAGATTCTCCGAGAGCTTTTCATTATGATATGAAGACAGAGGAGGGAAAAATCCTTCTCTCCCAACTGGATTCCCATCCATACAGCTGTGTGGTGAATTGGTCTTCTTATGCCAGCAGTATAGAAGCACACTCAATGGGAAACCAGGAATTTGAAGGCACTGTTTTTTTTGATGCTTTCTCCTTTGTGGAGCTCAAAGGAGTCACAGGAAATTATACAGTTTGTCACAGAGACCACTGTTGTCATCTAAGCTACAAGATGTCTGAGAAGGGATCAGATCAAGTTTATGCCCTCGGGGTGTTTGATGGACTACACACTGTTCTAGGAAACTTTTATCTACATGTAATGCATGTTTTAATGGCAGGAGAGTTGCCAGAATAACAAGACACCCAATTAAATTTGAATTTCAGATAAATGGCGCTTTTTTTTTTTTTTAGTGTAAGTATGTCCCCCAGGTTGGGACATGTTTATACTGAAAATTTATTTGTTGTTTATCTAAAATTCAAATTTAACCAGATATACTGTATTTAATTTGCTAAATATGATAACCCTAGATGTCAGTCCAATTTGAAACTCGTTGGAAAAAGGTAGAACATTTATCTGGTATTTCAGTTTTTAAAATAATACCCTAATCAAATTATAGATAATTTTAATACATAATTGACCTATGAAATCTCCTGTCTGAACAAATTTAGCCATTTCCCTGTGTTTACTAGTGCCCGCCCTGCTTTATACAGAGCTTGACACTAAGTTTGCTCCTCGAGACAGGTAGAGGTGACCTCTGAGGTTGTACAGTAGAAATGTTTATTGCTGTAATAATTCAGATATCCCATAGCCTCCAACATAAAGGAGGAATGGTTATAGTATGATGAGATACAACTCCCAAGAAAAAGTTCACAGTGGTCTCCATGTTTCTCTCCTGTTCTTCTCTTGCTTGGTCTGGCTCCCATTCTATCTCCTCCAGATTATTGGAATACCCTCCTAACTGAGCTTCCTGTTAACAGTATCAGCTCTATCCAGTCCATTCTCTATACTACAATTACAAGAGCACTAAAAGCCGTTTATGATTATATCACTGTCTTGCTTAAAATTCCTGTTTTCTAGTTAACAAATCAAATTTCTTAATAGAAAATACACATTAAGAGCTTGATGTGTGGCCTCTCTCAGCCTCTTCTCTCGCTGACGCCCATGCGTGCCCTGGGCTCCTGTGATACTGAGACATTTCCCCACGTGTCAACATGTATAGAACCTCTGGATGTTTTTCCAGGTTATTTCCTTCATCTATGATGCCCCCACCTACTCATCTTTCATGGAACTCCTCAAGTGTTTTCTTCACTAAAAAGGCTGACCTAACTCATAATGATAGAAAGACAGCCGATTATAGTGGGCTGAAAAGTCAAAGGGAAGTGAGGATGCTGGGAGCGTAAGTGAATATGTCTTCTTCAGAAATTGTGTCTGAAACAAGAAGAGAGTAAGACAAAATAGACAGAGACTCATGATTAGGAAACTTTTTTTTTTCTCTTTTCTTTTTTTCAACAAATGAGAAAGGCTAAATTATAGGCCTCAGAGAAAGGGTAAAAAAGAGAAAAAGGGTGAAAATGTAGGCGAATCAGTACTCTTAATCAATGCTTCAAGGTACTGGAGGAAAGGGGAAAAAAAATGGTATCATGAACACAGGTGGAAAGGGTCCAACAATTGGAATTTAGTTAAATAAAATACGTTGTAGGAAAATATTTATTGCCGTATAAATTTTACCATATAATATATTGATATATACATTTTTTAAATTAAACTTGTGATTTTTTAAATTTTTTGTGATATATTTTTATTTATTTATTTTTCTCTTTTTTATTGTGCTTTAGGTGAAAGTTTACAGCTCAGGTTAATTTCTCATTCAAAATTTACATGTGATATATTTTTAAATGAAAAAAGTTAATTACTAAAAAAGACAACAATCTCTCAGCTCTTCCTCACACTCTCCTTCCTTCTCAATCCCTCAGTCTTGTCTTGTCTCTCTGCCTCCCCCAGTGTGTTGGCATCACGTGGGCAGAGCAGTGGTAGCTTTCTTCTCACTGTTGGGAGGAAATTTACCTTTGTTGAATTCTTCAAAGAGTAATGAGCTCTAGTAAAACAAAGCTGTATGTTGGTTATTACTGGTTTATGGTCCTTTAACCAAACCATTAGGGCCAGACATGTTTTGGAGTTAGTTTTCCAGTTTGAAAAAGACAATGGTACATCTTACTTGGCATAACCAGAGGAGTCTCAGGCAGTGTCCAGTATCAAACATGTTAATATTTCGGCTGGAAAGCATGGGAATGTTCACCCGAATTGCTTAAATAAATATATTATAACCTTATGTTAGTTCAGGTTAGGTTTCAATGCCAAGTAAATTACAATAATCCTTTATTTTCAGAGAATTTTGAATTTGGGAATTGAGGATAAGAGATTTTGGCATTGTATTGTATTGATAATCTTTCATAGACCAACTCTGATGATATATTATGCTAGTATGGCTCTGTTACCACCAAATGCTACTTCCTAACCAAGGGAGAGAAGAGGAAGAAATAAGGTGAATGTGAAATAAACCCCTACCTGGCCTCACAGATTCTCCAAGTGTTCTGTAGCAAATATGCATACTTTCAAAACAATTTTTACGAAATTGGGGAAAGATGGAAGATGTGGTATTTTAGAAAGTAGGAAGTGATAACAGGCTGACTAAAGGAGCTTGAAGAAAGTAAAGATTTGGAGCAGTTGCTGCAGGGGACTGGGAGAGGGATCAACCTAAATATTTTAAAGAATAATAGAAGAAAGGAGTGAAAAAAGGAATGAAGTTATATCGTTACCCAATGCACTTAGGATCTTCTCCTCTTTAGACTATTATCTGCACCCTTTGTCCTTCCCGTATCCTTCTACCAAGGTGAGTCATTCAAATCACCAGCTCCTAGGCCTTTCAGAGTGTAAAACCTATTCCCTGGCAGTATAAGGAATTGAGGATAAAACAGCTGAAAAAAAAAATTAGATACCGAGGCTTGAGATAATGTATTGACAACATGGATCTGGAGTCAGAAAATCCAGGTGAATCCCTCCTTCATCACGTAGTAGCCACCTGGCTGTGAGCCAATCCCTCAGCCTTTCTGGTTCCTCATCTAAGAGATGTGGATTGATTTTCCTTCAACAATATTTTTGTAATGCCAGCTTTGTTTGAGGTACTTGCTAGTGCCCGGGGTTATCAAGATGAGCAAGATAGATATGATCACTGCCTTTGTAGAGTTTAAATCTAATGGGGAAACAGGTATGAAACAAAAAACTGAGAAAATTACTGTTTAATTTTAGCGTGACAAACACTGCAAAGGAAAAGTATTGTGTTCAATTAGAGCACGTAATTGGAGAACCAAAGTGGTTAAGAGGTCAGTTGCTAACCAAAAGTTTGGCAGTTCAAATCCACCAGCCACTCTTTGGAAACCCTATGGGGCAGTTCTACTCTGTCCTATAGAGTCGCTATGAGTTGGAACCGAGGTTTGGTTTTTGATTTAAGCTAGTTCAGGGAGTGATGCAGTGGTTAAAGACTTAGGCTGCTAACCAAAAGGACATTGATTTGAAACCAACAGCTACTCTGGGGGAGAAAGATGTGGCAGTCTTCTTCTATAGAGATTACACTGTTGGAATCCCTGTGGGACAGTTCTTCTTTGTCCTATAGGGTCGCTATGAGTTGGAATCGACTCAGTGGCAGTGGTTTTGGGTTTGGTCTATAGGGTTTTGAGGAAATTTGATTTAATCCATAAATATAAAGTACTTACCACTTTGTCTGGCACATAGAAAGTACTCAATAAATGTTAACTTTTGATACTATCATTGTTAATAAAAATAAACCTAACTTTTTGCGTGAATCATCAGTCCTACACCACCAGGTTTCACTAGCATAAACTCTGGCTCTATTATTCAAGTTCACAATCTGAATTCATTTGCAAGTATCTCCTGATTCAATCCCTTTATTCCTTTAGTCCTTCTCATACGCCAGATGTCCTATCACTTATCACCTAGATTGGTTCTATCTCCCCCCTTTTCATTAATTTTAATCAAAGTAGTGCATGCACATATTTAAGAAGACAAATAGCACTAAAGGCTTATATCACAGTGGTTCCCTCCCCAATACATCCAATCGCTCTTTCTGGAGGCGAACACTTTTCTGTCCTTTAGCTTTTTCTTCTGAAATTCAGACATCTCTATATTTCTGAATAACATTGCTGTGTTTTATTAATCAGTTTTAGTCCAGATTCACCCCTTTTACCTTTTTACTTATTCTCATATGTAAAACTTTCTATCCCTTCTTATGACCTGGATTGGTTCTATTTCTCCTTTTTAAAAGTTTATAAAACAGTGGTTCCCTCTGTAGTCGACTCCGTTCCTTATTCCAGGTGCACTTTGACTCTTATCTAATTCTTCTGAAATTTACACTTTTCCATATTCCTAAATAATACTGCTTTAAAAAAAAAATCGTCAGTGTTAGCAGTTATCTTTTTAGTTTCTACTCTGGTAGATGAACATTTAGATTGCTATTTCATTCTGCCTTCTCCCTTCTACTATCTTTCCAATATGTTTTTATTTGTATTAATTAAAAAACAAACGAACAAACCCATTCCCATCAAGTTGATTCCAACTCATAGTGACCATATAGGACAGAGTAGAATTGTCCCATAGAGTTTCCAAGAAGCAGCTGGTAGATTCAAACTGCTGACCTTTTCATTAGCAGCCAAGCTCATAAGCACTGCGCCGTCAGGACTTCTTTGTATCAATATGCAGTGTTTATATGTTTATGACTATGCAAACATCATTCAGAGAAGAGTGTAGATTGCATTTTCTTTGTTTTTTCTGAACTTATTAATTACCTTGTTTTTTATTTACTTAATTTTCCTTGACTCTTTTGTTAAAATTTCCCATCCTTTCAGTAGTATCTCAACAATTTTCCCACAAAGTTATTTTCATCATGTTAAAAGAGTTTAGGAAAACTATCTTCCTCTTTCTGGACTAGATTATCCTCTAGGTCTTTTGTATAGTTATCAACTTGGAATTCCTTTTGATGTCATCTTAGGAATTCTCTTGATTTGAATTCCATGATTTCTTCCTTCTTTCTTAATTTACTCCTTTGTGTTGTTGAAGCACACTCTCTGATATGACTCTCTTGAGTCACATTGCTCTAATCTGATCAGGCTGCCTTCCATGTCTGGTACAACATGGCTGTCATTCTGGGATCTCCCTTCATCACAGTGGGGAAGATTTTCTTTACCCATCTCTTGTGTGGATTTTCTGTTTTTTATTCCATACCTTTCTTGTTGGTTTATGAACATTTTGTTGTTGTTGTCTGCCATTTCCTGAAAAAGAGTGAATGGAATGCAGGTATTTTTGAGACTTTACATATCTGAAATACGTTTACTCTCAAATTATTTCCATAAATATGGAATTCCAGAGTGGAAATAATTTTCCTTCAGAATTTTGAAGATATTATTTCTTCGTTTCTTATGTTTTTCTGAGAATATTGAAGTTATTCTAATTTCTGATTCTTTATATGTGACATTCCTCCCTCATCTGCCCTCTCTCTCCCCCAAAAGCTCGCCGAGTTTTTTTTCCTTCATTTTATTTTTTCTCTCCTTCTAGGACTTCTATTTGTGTCTTGTCCCTCTTGAATTGACCCTTTAATTTTCTGATCTTTTCTTTGTTGTTTTTCATCTTTATTTTCTGATATTTCCTCTTCTTGATCTTTCAAATCTTCCACTGAATTTTTCATTTTTGCTGTCATGCTTTTAATTTCTTTTTTTCATTTTTACTGTGCTTTAGATGAAGCGTTACTGCAATAATGCGGATTGGAGCCGCCTGCCCCAATAGCCAATTCTGAGATGGGGTGAGGTGAGCAGCAAGATGTTTATTATATATTGATATAGAGAAGACGGAGGGGAATAGATTCCTCCAAAAAAAAACCCATTTCCCCAACTGGAGATTGGCTGAAGTCTTTTATAGGGACGAGATTATGGATCTTTTGTGGTAGTTTCCCCTTGAGGTGATGATGTCTTAGATGAGTTAAACTTCTACTGGTATTCTTAGAGGTTATCTGGCGACATCCTGCTTTTTCTTGTCACAAGATGGGTGCTTTGTTTGTTTTTTCATTCTTAGATCATTATCACTTGTTTTCCACCCTCCAGGGAGGAACAGTGGTTAATCTTAAACCTTTTTGTAGAGACTGGAACCAGAGGGAAAAATCATGAGACAATGTGGTGGTTAGCAATGGGAGGAAATAATACTGAGCCGGGCCTAGGCAGCCTCTTCCAGAAGGTTTACAGAGCAAATTAGTTTCTCATTAAACAGTTAATAACCTATTGTTTTGTGACATTGGTTGCCAACCCTGCAATGTGTCAACACTCTCCCCTTCTCGACCTTGGGTTCTCCATTTCCTTTCATCCAGCTTTCCTGTCCAAGTTTTTAATTTCTAAGAGCTATTTTTTGCTTTTTGAATCTTCCTCCACATTTTTACATCATGTATACTTTTTAAAAATTTTATTTTGTGGATGCAGTATTTTCTGTTACCTCTTTGAGGCTATTAAGGATTTTTTTTTTCTGGAAGTTTTGTTGCCCTGAATAGTCTCTATTAAGTTCAAGTTACTTTTATCTGTTTGCTCTGCTTTCTCTTTCATGTTAGAAACTTTTCTGTTATTCTTAACACTTGGGAATACCAAATACTGATTGAAAGTTCTGAGCATTTGGGTCGTACTTGCCAACTTTGAGTTTCACAGTAAGGTAATCTGGCTGAGCCTTTTGTTGGGAGGATTCCTGAGGTCAGCATCTTTAATGATTTCCTCTTGAGATGATCTGGTTTTCCAGAGAAGATTCTCCTAACTTCCTTCCTGATTAGTATGGCTAGATTTAGCAAATAAAATGTGGGATGTCCAATTAAATTTGAAGTTCAGATAAACAATGAATAATTTCATGTAAGTATGTCCCATGCAGTATAGAGGACATACTTGTTCTAAAAAGTTATTTGTTGTTTATTTGAACTTTAAATTTAACTGGATGTCCTATCCTGCATTTTACTTGCCAACCCTACTCCTGAAGGATAATGTCTTGCTGTCAGCAATCTGGGAGTCAAGTGTGGAACAGCCTTACAGAGGGGAAGCAGTATAGGACAGATAGTCTTAATATTCAGTTTGAATCATTCACTTAATCTTCTTCAACTATGTAATTCAAACTTCAGTCTAAAGACCATCTGCTTTCCTATCTCCAGGAAATAAATTCTCAGTCTTTTACTGGAGTATAGGAGGCTCAGTTCTCCATCCATGGGAGTAACTCAGCATCTAAGAAATTCTTAACAACTTTTCATCAATTTTCCTTACATCTGCCCCAACTCCATCCCCCATTCCTGGTGCTTCCAGAAATAGAGTCTTTTGTGTATTCTGCAGTGCAGTTGGGGTTAATTCTTGGCTTTCCCCATTGCCGGTTTAGGTCTTGGCTTTCTTAGGTCTACTAAATCACTTTCCTGTTTTCCATCAATATTCCAGCTTCTAAAATTGTTGCTCTGTTCTATCCTCTTGTTTTCTTCGTCCTTGTGGGTTTGTATCTGTTGAAAAATTACAGCAGTTTCAGTAGGTTTCAATGGAACAAAGCAGAAGTATGTGTTCATGGTACAACATTTACTTGAAAGTTCTTTCTCCTCTTGACACATTTGCCCTGAAGTGCTTGCCCTCCACCTGCAAGAGTAGAAGCAGGGAGACCACTTAGAGGCTATTGCTGTAACCAGGCAAGAGATGAAGGTAGCTTGGAATAATAGGCTTGAAATGGGAGATGCTGTACAGATGGAGTTGAATGGATATAGATCTTTGTATTTACATAGTGAGGTGACTCATGTATTTAGATTTTACATTCAAATAGCTATGTAGCGTAGTGGAAGAAGAACTCAGCTGGGAACTGTTTCAATGCTTGCTCAGATACAAAGTATGTGACTTTTCTGAATCAGAGGATACTTCTAGATCATTGCTAGGGTCTCTTCCAAATCTAAAATCCCCTCATTTTATGCAATAGGCAATAGGTTGGAGATTGAACTAGTGTCTAAGTTAAAAAGCTTTTTATCAAATTGAATACTCTAACAAGTAAAATCATTGATAACTTGAGAATAATGAGGGTAGAGTTGTCCATGGAGACAGGCCAAAGATGTAATTGGTTCTTTATGTGGTTAATTTGTTTACCAGTGAACTGCAGGAAATACTGCATTCTGAATTCATTTATTTTTATTACTAGTTTCATTAGCTATTTACCAATGAATTGGACTAATTTAGTTAGGAAGTGAAATTATTTTACTACATAAAGGGCATAGGCATTTCTCTAGGTCGTTAGAGTGTGCCAATTGCCTTTGGTATGACTTACTGTTTTGCGTTTACTTCCTGTAGATTTGTACCATGTTGAAGTGTGGAACAACTAACTTAAAAACCTGTGGTGAGTCAGTTGAAGCAGCTTCCACCAGGTTTGAAATGTTCTCTCTCAGTGGTACTTTTGGAACCCAGTATGTCTTCCCTGAAGTGTTGCTGAGTGAAGTTCAGCTTGCACCTGGAGAATTTCAGGTAAGAACGTGTGCTTGATATTGGCAATTAATTTCACCTAAGCGAAAGCACATTTTAAGACCAAAACCTGCCCAAGAGCTTAAAAATATGATAAAAACTCCCATTTGAGAAGGATAAAATTGGCCTTGGGGATCACCAAGGACACGGAGCAGATTGAATTTCCTGCCTGGAAATTCTTAAGATAGTAATTAATGTGTCCTTGAGAATAAAGAGAAATACATTTATTTTGTCGAATATGGGAGGAGGCTGGGCTGTTGAAGTTCTATCAAGTAGGAAGGAGACTGAAGAAGAGTAGTTTTAGGGGCAGGCCCATTAGAGGAAGGCTC